CCCGAACCTGAGCGTGATCTGGTGGAAGGTGGTCGGATGAAGACGCCATTCTGTGTTGTCGATGCTCGTCCGGCTCAGCCAGTCCACCCTCACATTGTCCACTCCCGAGTTGTGGTCTGCTCGTAGGGAGGCCAGGCCCACCTCCCTAGCGTCTCTGCTTCTGCCATGAGGGTCTTGGACCTGGTGCCCCCCTGGCGGTTTATGTGGGCCTTCGTTGCTATGTTGTCTGTAAGTAACAACACATGGCGGCCCACAATGTCCCTCTGAAAATGGCACAGGGCTAGCCTGGCCGCCCGTAGCTCCAAGAGGTTGATGCTCTGCGCTGCCTCTCTCTGTGACCACTTGTCTTGCGTCACTTGTTCTTGAAAGTGGGCCTCCCATCCTTGGAGACTCGCGTCAGTCGTGACTACCAGCCGTTCTGTTTCTCTGAAGAGGCAACCCTTCATCACTGCCCACCACTGAAGGGACTGCTTTACCTTCAGGGGGAGCTTGACACGCCTGGGAGAGTTGCTGGCCTTCGCCCTCTGGATGGGAAGAAGAAACCATTGTAGTTTGCAGGCGTGTAGACGTGCCCATGGAACTATGTTTATGCAAGAAATCATGAGTCCCAGAAGTTGAGACAGTGACACGATGGCCGCCAGCTGGTTTACCCTCGCAGCCCGAGCGCGGGTTGTGAGATTGGGTCTGCGGTCTGGAGACAGGAACACTCTGCAACATTTTGAGTCTATCAGTGCGTGGATGGCATAAGCTGACTCTTTTCCCGGTTCACCGAGAACCCGTGATGTTGTAGAGTGGAGATGGTGTGTTGAACATCTGTGACGGCTTGGTCGGAAGACGTTGATTGAAGCAAGATGTCATCGAGGTAGCAGAGTAGCCGTATTGGACGGAAGCGTAGGTGTGCCTCTACCACCGCCAATATCTTTGTGAAAGTCCTCAGTGCTGACGACAGGCTAAACAGGAGAGCCCTTTATTGGTAGTGCCTGCCATCGTAGTGGAACCTGAGAAACCTCCTGTGGGACCTGCGGATGGGGATGTGCAGGTACACCTCCTTCAAGTCTATAGAGGTCAATCTGTCCCCTCATCTGATGCAACCCAGGATGGTCTGTAGGGATTGCATCTTGAAACGCGTGTAGGCCAGATCTCGGTTTAGAGCTTTGAGGTCCAAGATGCCCCCCGCCCCCCCTGCACCTTTTGGGGGCAAGGAATAGAATTGAGTAGAACCCCTTCTTTTCTTGCTCTACGGGAACTGGCTCTATAGCGTTTATTTCTAGGAGATGTTGAATCTCCACCTGCATGCGTTCCCTCTTGGGAAGAGATGTGGGGACGGGACACTGGACAAAGGTCCTCGGGGGAAGGGATAGAAACTCCAGGGTTAGGCCCTGCCCGACCGTGTTGAAGACCCACGCGTCCGTGGAGATCAACTCCCAACAGGCGGCGTATAGTTGGAGACGGCCACCTATGGGAGGATCCCGTTGGTGGTCACTTGGACCTGCGGTAGGAGCGGTTGTTGGAACTGCCGCGAAAGGGGTGCCGAAAGGACTGCTGTTGCTGGTGGCCCTTGTCCCTGAAATTGGTTCTATCCTGTCCACGGTCATTGCCCTGGGGATATGACCTCTGATAAGAGGTGCCCGCATTTGAGGAATCAGTCCCTCGAAACGGCTGCCTCTGAAAGAAGGACCCCCCCCCCCCCTTCTTGTCTGGCTTCTTAGTGGTGGCAGGAAGAACTTTCCTCTTATCCTTGGTTTCAATTAAGAACTTTTCCAAGGGTTCCCCAAACAATTGTCCACCTTTGAAGGGGGCAGAGGCCAACTTCCATTTTGACTTCATGTCCGCCTGCCAGTGACGGAGCCACAGCAGACGGCGTGAGGTCATGTTAGATGCTGAGGCCTGGGAGGCAAACCTGGCTGCCTTGAGTGAAGTGTCAGCCGAATATTCTATAGCCGCAATTATCTTATTAAGGCCATGCCTCCACCTGGACCCTGTTGAGGGGGGATGAGCTCTCAACTGTCTCAGCCACAGTACCGAAGCTCTAGTAAAAAATGACGCTGAGGAAGAAGCCCTTATGGACCAAGCGGCCGCTTGGTGGGTTTTGTGGCAGGCTTTCTCTGCATTTTTGTCCTCAGCTTTGAGCCCAAGGAGGTCAGTGGGAAGGACCGAATTGGAGGTAAGGGAGATAATTGGGGTATCCACCTGTGGCAGTTGCAACAAATCATCTAGTTTGCTCTCCACAGAGTAAAGATTTTTGTCTACCCCGCTGGGATTGGTCAGGGAGCCCGGTTGCACCCACTGGTGCTGAATCACATTGACAAACATGTCCAGCGCCGGAACCAGTTCCTGTGCCGGGGTGGTCTCATCAAAAAGCCCTTCCTTTGGATCTTGAGATGCAGAGGGGTTAGTGGACCATTTGGGTAGTAATACCCAATTGGGTAGAAGCTTTAGCTTTATGCAATATTGACTTAAATATGGAAGGGCGGAATAAGCCAGTAAAGGCAGGTTTTTCAGGAGGAGGATTCTCATCCTCTGAGAATTCCTGCTCCTCTACATTGTCCTCCTCCAGGACAGATTCCTCTGTGGCGATAGAGGTACCTGGAGACGGAGGACCTTGTACCTGATCCCCTTGGACAGGTTTCTGAGTAGTCTTGCCCGAAGTGGCTCTGGAGGCCTTGAGCTTCTTTCGAATACCATCCTCTATGCCCCTCTCAATGGCCTGGTTGATGGCCCTTTGCATCTGAGAGGACGGGTTGGGGCCCTGATCCTCAGGGGATCTTGATGTTCCCGGCCCCTCCCTGCCAGCCTGTCTAGAGGGAACTGGGTCCTCCTCAAGAGTAGAGCAGCCAAAGGGGCATATTTCTTCCTGGATGAAGGAAGACTCTGGTTACCCCAGGGAAGCTGCAGGTGAAGAGGCCTGAAATCCCTCCTCCATAACTGGGGGAGAAATACACTCCCTTGGAGAATCCTGGGGAAAAACCTCTTGAAGCTGGGGCAAGGGACTAGGATCCCTAGATGGCTGTCCAGATGAAATGGAGTGTTTTCTGGCCCTTTCAAAGGTCTTTTCTAATGCTCTATGCCTGCGGGCCTTAGCCTTGGATAAGGCCTTGCCACCTCTGGGGTTAGGGGTCCCCTTCCCTTTAGTGCCCTTGATCCCCTTTTCCACCTCAGGTGGATCTGGTCTGCTGAGTTTCAATGAGGGTTCTGGATTGTCCTCTGGCGCCCTCTTGCTTATTTCAGCCATGATGTCTTCGCCTGTAGTCTTCAAGGCTGCAAAAGCAGTAGGCCTGGCACCGGCGTGAGTTGAAGGAAACTGCGGGCCTTGCAGATAAGTCCTCCGGACGGGAGTATGACCCGAGGGCCAAAGCTCTCCCAAGCCGCTCGCTGTAGGTGTTCTTGGGGGAAGAAGCCTTGCTGGCGCACCGAACTAAGGCTAAAAAACTCCCCCGCGGCTATCTGCTTGCTGAGAGTAAAAGCGCGGCAAACTGCAACGACCAGTGCTCGAAAGCGCACCAAAACGGCTTCAAAATGGCCACCACACTTCTTCGGGCGATAAGGGAGCTGTCAGAGGCAATCCGAAACCTCCGCTGAGGTCTCTGGGCGCTAAACAATCAAATGACAGCTGGGGGGGGGAAGGAAGCCTCCTGCTGCCCCCGTGCTAGCCAGCTGCCGCTGGACAAGCGCCCCAACAAACCTAGGCTCTGTTAGCCAACGGAGCCAGGAACCTCCAAAGTGCTCTCAGCCGTCTAACAGGAACCTCGTTTTAAAGTGGATTTTTTCTTCCTGACTACGATGATGACAAAAATAAGAAAATCTCTATCTAACTAGAAGAGTCCCAGTCTATTCACGCAAAAACTAAGGAACTCCCCAAAAACGCGTCCGAACTGGGCTGGACTGAGTTTTTGAACTGGTCCTCAATGAGGNGGCTAAGAAAATTAACTCAGTCCTTGGGCGAATAGACTGAATTTAACCCATGCTTGGACTCTCCAAGCAGCGCACAGGAGAATAAGCAGCTAATAATAATTTTATGAATGTGTCCATTATAGCTTTCAACATTCCAAATGCAAGTCAAACTCAAAAATGTTGCTAATCCTTGCTCTACATTATCAAATTTGTAACGCGTCAAATAGAAAAATAGAATATAAAGTCTAAGGTAGAATACAAACTTCCTTTTCTAGAAATCTAATATACATAAAGTCTTTATATAAGTAGTCCTCAGGTTACGAAAGCAATTGGGACTGGGATTTCCATTGCTAAATAATGTAATTGTAAAGCATGACATCATGTGATTATTTCACTTAGCAACAGCAATCCTGGCTTCTATCTTATCCCTAAGCCATGCAGGAAGTGGTGGAAGTCCAAAGTAAGGAGTATGGAGGTACAGCCGGGGGGGGGGGGGCTGGGAGGCTCAGCATGGACAAGGGGAAATGTATGCATGGGACCTACTTACAAATTTACCTGCTGACTTCCCTATTGACTTTGGAAAACCAGCAATTAATCCCACAAATGGTGATCATCGCTTCCTACAACAATATTATGTGCCTGAGTTGCAATCATGTCACCACGGTGGTGTTGCAATGGCTGGAACTTCAGGGACTGGTCATACATCCAGTTTTTCAGTGCTGCCATAACTTTTAACAGTCATTAGATGATTATTTGTTAATATTATAAAAACAATTGAGTCAGCTTCTTATTTCCATTCCATAAAAATTAATAAATCTATTGTTTAACCTAACCCCACTACAAAGTGCTAATCAATTACATATACTGTTGGAGATTACATGATCCATTGGATCAACTATAGTAGATAACTATATTTTGGCCTAGCATGGTATGGAAAGCAGCTGCTGTGCTTACTTTTAGTTTTTGGTTTACCGTATCACGATGAAATTAGATGCAATCATGTTTAAATTTGCCACAGATAAATGTGTTATGAAAACAAAGTATTTATGAATAACACAATCTGCTCTCAAACAACATGCAACTATGAATGGCCTAAAATTCATTTTTACCTGGTGGATTCTTGGCAGGATCGTTGTGGCTTGGACTTCCTGATTGTCCAGAATCTACCAAACAAAAAATATGAAAATATATATATTATTTGTTTTAGCATATCACAAAGCTTACAGTGTTTTGAATGAATCAGTTTGTATAATGTAGTTTTGAATAATTAACTGTTATCATTGAAGAATGAGGGGAAAGCATAGTTTGGTACCCCTTATGAAAGTTTTGCTTAATCGTTATGCATACCTGGCCTATATTTCCTAAAATATACAACTGGAAACAATGTGCTACAACTGAAGAATGGAAAAAGTATCATTCCCAAAATGTTGAGGTATAAAAATGGTTAAAAAAACACAAGCTATATGAGGCACACATTTAGAAACCCCCATAAGGCTCAAGAGCTGTAAACATTGCTTACATAAATAAATAACACTTTAATGGAACAATCTTTTCAAGATCCACAGGAAACATATACAATAATGTCCAAACCTCTCCCACTAAAATGTTATCTGTCCATATATTCGTGGCACGACAAAACCACGCTCGTCAAAATCGTGGTGATAAAATCGCGGCGCTAAAGCCGCAACGTCATCAC